GAGTCCGGGATTTAATTATTGGGAAAGGGAAGCAGGGATTTATTTATTGGGAAAGGGAAGCAGGGATTTATTTCTTGGGAAGGGCGATCCAGGAATTTCTTGGGAAGGGGGATCCGGGATTTATTTCTTGGGAAAGGGAATCAGGGATTTATTTATTGGGAAGGGGAATCCGGGATTCGGGGTTTTTTTTGGGAAGGGGAATTCAGGGATTTGGGGATTTCTTGGGAAGGGGGATCCGGGATTTGGGGATTTTGGGGTTTTTTTGGGAAGAGGAAGCCGGGATTTGGGGGTTTCTTGGGAAAGGGAATCCGGGATTTATTTATTGGGAAAGGGAAGCAGGGATTTATTTCTTGGGAAGGGCGATCCAGGAATTTCTTGGGAAAGGGGATCCGGGATTTGGGGGTTTCTTGGGAAGGGGGATCCAGGAATTTTTTGGGAAGGGGGATCAGGGATTTATTTCTTGGGAAAGGGAATCAGGCATTTATTTTTTGGGAAGGGGGATCCGGGATTTGGGGTTTTTTTTTGGGAAGGGGAATTCAGGGATTTGGGGATTTCTTGGGAAAGGGAATTCGGGAATTTCTTGGGAAGGGGGATCCGGGATTTGGGGATTTTGGGGTTTTTTGGGAAGAGGAATCTGGGAATTGAGGGTTTCTTGGGAAAGGGGAATCAGGGATTTATTTCTTGGGAAGGGGGATCCGGGAATTTCTTGGGAAGGGGGATCCGGGATTTGGGAATTTCTTGGGAAGAGGAATCGGGGATTTCTTGGGAAGGGGAATCTGGGGTTTGGGGATTTATTTATTGGGAAGGAGGATCCAGGGATTTGGGGATTTCTCGGGAGTGGGAATCCTGGAATTTTGAGGTTTGGGGGTTTAGGAGAGGGAAAACCTTGGCGAGGGGGGAAATGGGGATTTTTTTTTTCCAAGGAAAAGCGGCGGTGGGGATTTTACACCAGAATTCCAAAGGCTTCATTCCCAAAAAATAAAGGCGCAGATCCCAAACGAATCTTGCAAATATTCCCCAAGAAATCCATTTATTGTTTTTATTCCAGAGTTTTTTTCCTGCACGAACGCACTAAAAAGCTGAATTTTCCCAAGAAATAAATGGAAATATTGCCTTTATTCCCGTTTCTTTTTTTGGTTTTGCTCACTCCCTTTATCCCAAGTTGTTTTTTTTTTAACCAGGAGAAAATTCCCTTGTTGGAGAGGAGGGGAATTTGTGGCGATAAATTTGGGATAGTTCACGGGGGCGATAAATTTGGGATAGTTCACGGGAATTTGGGATCGGTTTGGAATTTTGGGGGTCATTCTGGGATTTTTGGGGATCAGCTTGGAGCGTTTCCCTGGGCTGGCGCCGCAGCATTTTCCAAGGAATGTTGCAATCCCAAGGGATGATGCAATTCCGGGATCGCGGGCCCCGAGCCCATGGAATTCCCATGGAAAACCCCTCCCCAAAATCCCAAAAAAACCAAAAAACCCCTTGGAATGGATCCCCCCGAATGAATTCCTTACTCACGGAATTATCCCGGGAGATCCCAGCAGCGCTTCCCAGGGATCGGGGCTGGCTCGGGGGTTATTCCAGGATTTCCTGGGAATGCGCCGGGATCCCTAAAAGCGGGATTTTCCCCCCAAAAGGCGCGGCCGGGATTTATAGGGAGCCGGGAATGCGCGGGACAGGCCGGGACAGGCCGGGAGGAGCCGGTTTTTCCTGGCGATGGAAAAACGGGATTCGCTGCCATTCCCGAGGGAGCGGGAGCGGCTGACCTGGGATAACCCCGCATCCATCGGGATGGGGATTTGGGATGGCCTCGGGAATCCCGGGAAGAGGGAGCGGCCTGGGAATGGGGGCCGGGATCGGGAGCAGCCGAGGGATGCGGGGATGGGAAATGTGGGATGGGAAATGTGGGATTCGGGGATGGGAAATGTGGGATGGGAAATGTGGGATTCAGGGATGGGAAATGTGGGATTTGGATCTGCGGGATTTGGGGATGGGAAGTGTGGGATTCAGGGATGGGATCTGTGGGGTTCAGGGATGGGATCTCTGGGATTCAGGGATGGGATCTGTGGGGTTCAGGGATGGGATCCATGGGATTCAGGGATGGGATCTGTGGGATTCAGGGATGGGATCTGTGGGGTTCAGGGATGGGATCTCTGGGATTCAGGGATGGGATCTGTGGGGTTCAGGGATGGGATCTCTGGGATTCAGGGATGGGATCCATGGGATTCAGGGATGGGATCTGTGGGATTCAGGGATGGGATCCACGGGATTCAGGGATGGGATCTCTGGGATTCAGGGATGGGATCCACGGGATTCAGGGATGGGATCCATGGGATTCAGGGATGGGATCCGCGGGATTCGGGATTCAGGGATGGGATCCACGCCAGGCCCTCCCCAGGCTCCTTTTCCAGCCCGGCCGCAGCTCCAGAGATTTTCCAGGAATTGCGGAAGCTCCGGGTGACACAAACGCGGGATTTTCCCGGGGATTTCTTTGGGATGGGGCGGATCCAAGGCTGGGCAGGGTTGGCCGGGAATCCACCGGGAATTCGCTGGGAATTTGCTGGGAATTGCTCTGGAAGGAGCAGATGCTGAGCTGGGATTCCGGATCCACGGAGCTCCCGAGCTCCCCCGGGGAATTTGTGGAATTTGGGGCCGGAAAAGTGGGATCAGGGATCTGGGATTTGGGATCAGGATCGGGGATCAGGGATCAGAGGTAGATAAATATCAATACATATAACCCAATATACTATAAATAGATATAAATATAAATATAAAGATCCATATAAATAAAAATATAAAAATATAAATATATATTATACAAATATAAAAATTAATATAAATTTATATAAATCAAAGCATAAACGTATAAATATAAACATAAACATAATTATCGATATATCAATATATCAATATAAATAAATATAGCTATAGATATAGACATGGATATAGAAATAGAAATAAATATAAATTTTAAATATAAATAATGAATATAAAACATGTATAAATATAAATATAAATATAAATATAAATATAAATATAAATGTAAATGTAAATATAAATATAAATATAAATATAAATATAAATATAAATATAAATATAAATATAAATATAAATATAAATATAAATATAAATGTAAATATAAATGTAAATATAAATACAAAGGATTGTCACAAACCGCTCATTTCCCACTACAAGAACTTCCAGCCCGGCCCAGCTCGCTGGAAGGGCCCAGGAGCGCTCGGAGCGGGAATTCCATCGGGAATTCCATTGGGAATTCTACCGGGAATTCCATCGGGATTTCCGCCTGGAATTCCGCGGGGCCAGGGCTGAGCTCGGCCCCGCTCGGCCCCTCCCGGATTCTTCCCATTCCCGGCCCCGCCCGGGCCCTCCCAGACCGGTCCGAGCGGCTCCCGCGCCTCATTTGCATACATTTGCATGGATTTGCATTGATTTGCATAGAGCGGCTTCAGGGGAGCCGGAGCGCAGGGCAGGGATGGGAACCTGAGATCCCCGGGAATTGCGGGATCCCACCTGAGATCCCCGGGAATTGCGGGATCCCACCTGAGATCCCTGGGAATTGCAGGATCCCACCCAAAATCCCTGGGAATTGCGGGATCCCACCCAAAATCCCCGGGAATTGCGGGATCCCACCCGAGATCCCCGGGAATTGTGGGATCCCAGCTCTGGGAGCCGTTCCCGGCGGGATCCCATCCCCAGCATTCCCTGGATCTGATCCCTGTGGCCTGACCCCATCCCAGGCTCTCCATTCCCGATTTTCCCAGGGTGATCCAACGCACCTTGCTGAATTTCCCTGGAATTTTTTCCCAAGCCAGGAGCCCTCAAACCCCCCCGCTTTGGAAAACCCCTGGAAAAATCCCTCCCGGGCGTTTTTTTTGGATCATTTCCTGGTTCTGCCCCTCCCCGGGGGGGTCCTGCATCCAGGAATCCAAGGATTTATCCATGGATGGGTAGGATGGGTGGGATGGATTCCCACTGGATCCCTGGATGGCGGCGAGTTCGGCTGAACCCCTGGGATGAACCCCTGGAATTCCAACCCTGGGATGAACCCCTGGGATGAATCCCTGGGATGAATCCCTGGAATTCCAACCCTGGGATGAATCCCCGGAATTCCAACCCTGGGATGAATCCCTGGGATGAATCCCTGGGATGAACCCCTGGGATGAATCCCTGGAATGAATCCCTGGAATGAACCCTGGGATGAATCCCTGGAATTCCAACCCTGGGATGAACCCCTGGATAAATCCCTGGAATTCCAACCCCTGGGATGAATCCCTGGGATGAATCCCTGGAATGAACCCCTGGAATTCCAACCCTGGGATGAACCCTTGGATCAACCCCTGGATGAATCCCTGGAATTCCAACCCTGGGATGAACCCCTGGATAAATCCCTGGAATTCCAACCCCTGGAATGAACCCCTGGAATTCCAACCCTGGGATGAACCCCTGGAATTCCAACCCTGGGATGAATCCCTGGGATGAACCCCTGGGATGAATCCCTGGAATGAATCCCTGGAATGAACCCCTGGAATTCCAACCCTGGGATGAATCCCTGGAATTCCAACCCTTGGATCAACCCCTGGATCAACCCCTGGAATTTCAACCCTGGGATGAACCCCTGGATGAACCCCTGGAATTCCAACCCTTGGATCAACCCCTGGAATAAACCCCTGGAATTTCAACCCAGGGATGAACCCCTGGATGAACCCCTGGAATTTCAACCCAGGGATGAACCCCTGGATGAACCCCTGGAATTTCAGGCTCGGCTGGAGCCCGGCCCCGCTCCCGCCCGGCCCCGCCCNAGGAGGGGCGGGTTCGGTTTGAGCGGATTCCCGATCCCCAAAAAAAATACCGGGAGAGGGTTGGATCCCCAAAAATACACCGGGAGAGGGCTGGATCCCGAGAAAAACACCGGGAAAGGGTTGGATCCCAATAAAAAAAGTGCGGGAATGGCTTGGATCCCTAAAAAAAACACCGGGAAAGGTTTGGATGCCAAGGTTGATCCCCTTGGGATGGAGGATCCAGGGGTTGGAATCGCACGATTTTTCCAAGGGTTTGGGAGCCATCCCAAAAATCAGAGCTCATCCCAGAATTCCAGGTGATTTTTGGGATGAGCAAATCCCGGATCCCAGGGTTTGGGGCTGGAATTCCCCGAAAAAACTCCGGGAAAATCGCTTTAAATCCCTGGAAAAATCACTGCAAATCCCTGGAAAAATCACTGTAATTCCCAGGATAAAACTCCAGAAAAATCGCTTTAATTCCCAGGAAAAAAAAAAAAACAAACCCCACATAAAAATTCACTTTAATTCCCATAAAAATTCACTTTAATTCCCAAAACAACCCGGGAAAATTCCCTCTAATTCCAGCAGCCGCTTTTGCCGCTTCCCAGAAATAATCCGGGAAAGGTTTTTCCCTGCCAAAAACTGGGACGGGAGGGATCCAAAGAAAGGGAAAACTGCGGGAAGAGGAAGGGGGATTTTATTTTTGGCAAATAAATGGAATTTTAGGGCGCAATGAAAGGGAATTTTGGGGCCGATTAAATGGGAATTTTGGGAAAAGAATGGGAATTTTGTGGCCGAGTGAAAGGGATTTTTTTGGAGGGGGAAAAAAAAAAATCAGGAATCCCCGCTCGGGGCGCTTCAAATCCCGAGGTTTGGGGGAGGTTTGGGGGAGATTTATTTAAAAGGAATTTCGCCGGGAATTTCCAGGAAAAATCCGCTTTGCGCGGGAATTCCGGGAGAAATCCCGAATTCCTGGGATTGGGAATGGAGGGAAGAGGAGGGGGAGGAAGAGCGGGAGAAATAAAAAGGAGGAGGAGGAAAAGGGGGAAAAAAAGGGGGAAAAGGAAAAGGGGGGAAAAGAAAAGGGGGAAAAGGAAAAGGGGGAAAAAAGGAGGAAAAGGAAAAGGGGGAAAAGGAAAAGGGGGAAAAAAGGAGGAAAAGGAAAAGGGGGAAAAATAAAAGGGGGAAAAGGAAAAGGGGGAAAAATAAAAGGGGAAAAGGAAAAGGGGGAAAAATAAAAGGGGAAAAGGAAACGGAGGAAAAGGAAAAGGAGGAGGAGGAGGAGGAGGAGGAAGGGGAGGAGGGAGCAGCCGATGATTCCCAAATCCCGGCATCCCTCGCTCCGCTGGAAGCGGCTCCGGGCCGGGCCCGGCGCTCCCCGCCGGGATTTGGGAATTTCGGGATCAGCCCCGGAGCCGGGAGAGCCCCGGGAGGATCCCGGGATCCCGGGGTTCCCGCCGGGATCGGGAATTCCCGGCCCCGCGGCCCATGCGGACACCGAGCGGCGGCCGCGGCCTGCCCAGGTCAGCGCATTCCCGATTTTCCTGCCCCCCATTCCCGAAAAAAATACCCTGGATCCAGCCGGGGACCCACACCCGCCCCCAAATCCATAGATCCCGAGCTTTTCCCTGCCCCGCGTCCCAGCCGCTCCCCGTTTGCCAGCCCCTGCTTCCCGAAAATCCAGCCCCAAATCCCTGGATCCAGCTGGAAATTCCCATCCCCACCCCCAAATCCAGGGATCCCGAGGATTTCCTGGCCGTTCCCGCTTTTCCTGCTCTCTCTTCCCAAAAATCCGCCCCCAAATCCCCGGATCCATCCCCCAATCCCGAAATCCAGAGCCCTTCCCACGCCCCGGCCATTCCCGCTGTTATTCCCGCTCCAGAATTCCCAGTTTTCCCCCTACGGCTTGGATTTCAAACTCCCAAAAAAACCGGGAATGAGAAGAAAAAATTCCCAT